GCCAACATAGTTCATGGTCTAGAACTTGACAATGGTGATATTCGCTTGGTAATTGAATGTGACAAGACAACCTCTTGGGGCATTGCTACTTACTCACACAGCCAGTCCAAACATGAAGTAACCAATTTAAGCTTCAATGTTAACAGCGAAGGTCACTCTCTGTATCCAAAATATGCTTGGGAGGCAGATGGCATGGCAAAAAATCTGAAGGTGGGTCCTGAGGATGTTGAGCTTCTAGACCCACCAGAAGACCATGCCAGAGTGCCTCTGCGAAACCAGTGCACATTTATTCATTCACTCAATCTTGCCCTTGGTGACAAAGAGTGGAAACAACATCAGTTGAGGATGGCAACTTCAGCAAAAGCTCAGGCATCAGCACAGCCAACATACAAAAGTTCCTTCACTTCAATTTCTGGTGCCATGAATTCACCCTCAAGATTCTCTGGTGGTTATGATGGGCAACATTTTCATGGTCACAGTACATCAGGGTTGTCAGTGGCACCCACACAGGTCAGTGCTTTCACTTACTCAAAATTCATTCCTCCATTCATTTGCTCTGTCAAGATACCTCTAGTGTATCATCCTGCAACACCTATTATTTCCATGCTTCTGCAAAAGGTGACAATAGCACAATGTGCAATCTAAAACCTGTTTGATTGAATCATTTATAGTGTCCCAGGGCAAGGGTTATAATTCTCAACGATAGTGACTGGTGTTCTGTGATCCAAAACTCAGTGAGTTACTAATATCAATGAGTGATCTGGAAATGTAAAAGTGTACCACCTAGGATAGAAGCTGGTTAATTGCTTGTCAAGACCTTCCAAATCGGATCCAAGAAGCATTTGACATAATTGAAGATGAGAATGGTGAATTCTATGACTAAAGCATGACATATTAATGAGTTTAATGATTTTTTCTAGGCACTGTTTATTTACAAGAAAAAGCACTTTGGGTAGTATCATTGGGGGGTTATGAAAGATTTGTAAAGCTGATGATAGAGAAGGGGGAAGATCTTAATGCACAGGAAGGGAAAGCTCTTCAGGCAGCATCACTCAGAGGTCATGAGGCAGTTGTGAGGCTGCTAATGGAGAATGGGGCAGCTGTGGATGCACAGGGAGGATACTATGGAAATGCTCTTCAAGCAGCAGCATCTGGAGGTCATGAAGCTGTTGTGAAGCTGCTGATGGAGAAAGGGGCAGCTGTGGATGCACAGGGAGGAAATGATGGAAATGCTCTTCAAGCAGCAGCATCTGGAGGTCATGAAGCAGTTGTGAAGCTGCTGATGGAGAATGGGGCAGATGTGAATGCACAGGGAGGAAATTATGGAAATGCTCTTCAAGCAGCAGCATCTGGAGGTCATGAAGCAGTTGTGAAGCTGCTGATGGAGAATGGGGCAGCTGTGAATGCACAGGGAGGAAATTATGGAAATGCTCTTCAAGCAGCAGCATCGGAGGTCATGAAGCTGTTGTGAAGCTGCTGATGGAGAATGGGGCAGATGTGAATGCACAGGGAGGAAATATGGAAATGCTCTTCAAGCAGCAGCATATGGAGGTCATGAAGCAGTTGTGAAGCTGCTGATGGAGAATGGGGCAGCTGTGAATGCACAGGGAGGATACTATGGAGATGCTCTTCAAGCAGCAGCAGCATATGGAGGTCATGAAGTTGTTGTGAAGCTGTTGATGGAAAATGGGGCAGCTGTGGATGCAGAGGGAGAATTTTATGGAAATGCTCTTCAAGCAGCAGCATCTGGAGGTCATGAGGCACACTATGGAAATGCTCTTCAAGCAGCAGCATTTGGAGGTCATGAGGCAATTGTGAAGCTGCTGATGAACAATGGTGCAGATGTTAATGCACAGGGAGGACACTATAAAAATGCTCTTCAAGCATCAGCATCTGGAGGTCATGAGGCAGTTATGAAGCTGCTGATGGAGAATGGGGCAGATGTTGATGCACTTAGGAAATGCTTTTGAAGCAGCAGCATTTGGAGGTCATGAGGCAGTTGTGAAGCTGCTGATGGAGAAAGGGGCAGATGTGAATGCCCAGGGAGGACGATATGGAAATGCTCTTCAAGCAGCAGCATTAGAGGGCCATGAGGCAATTGTGAAGCTGCTGATGAACAATGGTGCAGATGTTAATGCACAGGGAGGACACTATAAAAATGCTCTTCAAGCATCAGCATCTGGAGGTCATGAGGCAGTTATGAAGCTGCTGATGGAGAATGGGGCAGATGTTGATGCACTAGGAAATGCTTTTGAAGCAGCAGCATTTGGAGGTCATGAGGCAGTTGTGAAGCTGCTGATGGAGAAAGGGGCAGATGTGAATGCCCAGGGAGGACGATATGGAAATGCTCTTCAAGCAGCAGCATTAGAGGGCCATGAGACAGTTGTGAAGCTGCTGATCAAGAATGGGGCAGATGTTAATGCGCAGGGAGGACGCTATGGAAATGCTCTTCAAGCAGCAACATATAGAGGTCATGAGGCAATTGTGAAACTGTTGATGGAGAATGGGGCAGCTGTTAATGCATGGGCAGGAAGATATTGATATGCACTTAAAGCAGAAGCTGTGTAATGTTACTGAAGTTGTAAGTACTCTTTCACATGAGTTGGAGTGATAACAATTAGAAAGCACTGGAGCTTGCCATGGTATACATGTACTATGAGAAACCCATCTAAATCATTGGGGCAAAGACTGGCAGAGGATGGGCCTATAGAAAGGAAAGGTGGTCATCAGCCTCAGTTACAGTTATATTGCAGCTAGAGACAAGCTTACCTCTGTATTGAACACATACTCTACAAACACATGATCAGTCACATAGACTTCAACCTCACAAAACATAGTAACATACTATCCAATGGAACTACATCCGAATCCGAGAATAACAAATAAAGATACTTCAGCATCTCACTCTACAGCTCCACCCAGTAAACATCCAACTGATGACAACAAGTTCCAAGGGAAAAGACAAACCAAAAAGAACGTCTCCATCTTATCCTCCTGCCTTGTCGGGTTCTCATCTACATTGATAATCATCGTGTACCTGGCCGTAGGGACATGGCAGTGCTTTTCAATGGATTGGAAGATTGCCCATGTGTGGTCTCGGTATATGGGATCACCTGTCAGTCGATATGTGAGGAAAAGGGATTTGATGGTTTCTGGGCTTTGTTTTAGGAGTTGGTTAGTTGGGAAGGCAGAATGGAGGGGAGAATGATGTACCAGAGCATGTAGCATGTGTAGGCATTGTCACATGTAACCCCCGGGTACTTTTGGCCATACCCGTACCCATACCCATGAAAACCCATACCCTCAACCATGGGTAGGGGTTTCTGCAGGTAAGGGTACGGGTTTTCGTGGGTTTGGTGGGTTAGGCGGGTCTTATGACGGGTAGCTACTGTATTTTCATTCAGTATTGATCTTACTCTCAGTCACAAGTCAAACAATATCAAATTTTAGTGTATTAACACAAAGACAATTATAACTGTATTCTATTCAACTGATTATGTAGAAGCTTTAGACCTGTGCACGGCACAGCACTCGCTGGAACAGCTACAAGTAACTGACTACAAAATACATTACAGGTAAAGTGAAACACATGAGCCAACAGACATCTTGAGATGAGGAGAAAGGGCCTCATCATCGCATTGTGGTTGTGTGGCCATTGTGTTGTCGTCGCATGGTTGCGGCACCATCGTGTGTCGCCATGGTCGCATCGTGGTGTAGTCGTCGCGTCGCTTGTATTGTCGTCGCGTCGCTGTGGTGTCTGTCGTCGTCGCATCACTGTGGTGTCTGTCGTCGTTGCGTCACTGTAATGTCGTTGTCGTGTTGCTGTGGTGTCGTTGTCGTGTTGCTGTGGCGTTGTCGTTGCGTCGCTGTGGTGTCGTCATGGTGTCGCTGTGGTGTCGTCGTCGTGTCGCTGTGGTTGCATGGTATGGTTGCTGCCTCGCTGACACGACGTAGCGCCTGCATCTGCATCGTTGTTGGGGTGTGCATGGTTGGAGCAGTCGTCGTTGTCCCATGGTCCCCATGTCCTCATTCGTCGTGTCTGTGTCCCGTGTCCTCAACTCCTCGTCACGTCGTCATCCCGTGTCCTTCCCGTCGCATCGTTGTCGTCCCATGTTGTCATTCCATTGTTTTCCTGTCTCAGTGAGGTGGGTTAGGATGAACGTGGGACAGAGGGTACTCACCGTGTCCTCGTAACGTTGTTGTCCCGTGTCCTGATACATATGGGGGGCTAAGATGGAATAACGGATGAGGAAGACAAAAAGAGACACGAAAGAAGCAGAAGCGCTGTGTGTACAAGGCACTTTAGGGCGGGTTTGCTCTGATTCTGAACCCGCCCTAAAGTGCCTTGTATATATAGCGCCTCTGATCAGCTTCTTTCGCGTCTCTTTTCTTTCCTTCTGCACTCCCCTCTGCCCATGCCATATTTACGCCGTAGCTACACCCCCCTTGTATAGTTAACCCCCTTGTATATACTTGTTCTTACTTACATGTGTGTAGAATATTTCATTAATTTAAAATGATACACCCTCATAAAAATACAAAACCAAATACAAAAAACTTCCCTTCTCCCAGTGTGACTTGCAGGGGATAAAATACCTTACAAATTGTTCAGGTATCCCTTATGCATAACTTGGCAGCAATAAATTAGTATTTTTTCGATCTTATTGCTGCACAAACACTGACCAAATAACATGACGGGTATTGCTACGGGTACCTGCTAACCCCTGCCACGGGTACGGGTTTGGTGAGGGTTGGGAATATCAAACCCGTACCCTTACCCAAGTGTACCCTTACCCGTAACCCGCATGGGTTGCTAAACCCATGACAATCACTAAGCATGTGTCGTATGGTGGGAATTCACCTTTCCTATAATGAGATTGTATAAGTCAGGCAGAAGAATCTCGGGTAGCTTTAGAGAGACACATACTGAGCACCATGGATATACCAATCAGAGGGGGCAATATTGTATCCATCCATCCCATCACTTGGCACTCTAAAGTATACAATCTCAGGCGACAACCCACTAAATTCCTCCTGTATTAACTCCAAGCAACTCAACTAACGTCAAGGAGACACACCTAGCAGTATCATGGGTATTCATGCACGTCTTGATGAGCTCAACTCCTGTCTTCCAATCTCTTTGTCCATTTTCCACAAGCTCTTCCAGTCGAGGGGGTATTGAGACGGGCTGTTGAGTGACTGTCCCTGTGTGGGTTGCCCCAAGCATGAGCGAACCCCCAAGGAAGCAGACCAGGTGGTCTTGTTTTGGTGTCAGTCGCCATGATCTGTCATCATCGTTTGAGTGGTAGTTGGAAATGGGAAGAGCAGGAGATGGACATTTCACCATCCTTGTGATGTTTGGGGATGAGTTCAGACATGTGTGTCATTTTGGCGTTTTTGCTCTCTTGGATGAGGTATGAGTGTATGGCGGTCATGGCATCATCGTACATCTGTGATGAGAGCAGTATGAGACACAAAGTAAGCGACCAAGGCAAACCTACATCACGGTAGACCACTTCAGATTTATTCTGTGTGTTCTATGAGAAAAGAATGAAAACATGTTGCCAATGGCGTACCATTTGAAGGTATTGCTTTCTGTTGAAGTACATAAGTTTGGCATGCTTCATGGAGAGTGTAAGTTACGAACAACAGATACTTGTAAAATGAGTCTGCTTGCGCACCAAGTCAGATGGCTGATGATTCATACTGCCCTTGGTCAATACTAAGATAAGCTTTCAACAATGCTGGCAAGAAAACAAAATGGAAAAGAATGCACTTGAGAAAGATGGAAGCCAGGCCATGAGGCAACCATGCATCTTTGATAGTTCGCATGACCTGTCCTCTCCTTCAGATACTATTCATTCATCACTGAACCAATCTCACATTTTCAACTTTGTGCCAATACACATCGTTCCCTGTCAAATGGCTCAAATACTGATGGAGCTCCATCGTAGTGCTCAGAGAACCCGATCCATGAGTCCAAAAAACTGATAATGACAGTTGGGTTCTGTGGTTCACTATAAGATAAGTGTTCTCTTTAAGAAAAATTGACGTGTTTCTGACCAGATATGCAAGGATCAACATTGCGGTAAGGACTGAAAACCAGAGGAGGGTCAAGGAGACGCGTGAAGCTGGTAATTCTTTGTTGCTGCCAGCAGTATGAGATTGAGTGACTCTTGAAGTCAACATCACGGAGACCTGCTCTGTATGCTGCTTCTTGAGCTTCTTTCGCATACGACTGTCGCTCATGGTGAGCAGGAGGGTTACGACCTCTGTGGACGACCATCATCTCTGCCAAGTATGATCGGTGGCGGTCTATCTTTCGTTCAGCTCAGTGTTGTACAGGTCAGCCTGACTCAAGGTCAGAGCTGTCACGTCACTGGGGTCACGTCAACTGACTTGACGAGGTCAAGCTCAGTAAAAACGAAAGTCAGATCAAGTCATCTACCCCTCACAAGAAGGTCATGTGAAGTCGTGTTGGTAAGTGCAAGTCATGTGGCACTCAGATATGTATCTGCCAAAATTTCATGGCCTAACTGAAGTCGAGGAATAGTCAGTTACAAGTCATGTTGTAGTGTAGTCCTCGTCATCTGATTTCTATCGCCTTCGTCCTCTTTTCCACACATGCTTGATGTCAACAGGCAAGTGAACAAGTCACAATTTGTTGAAGTCCGTTGAAACTCTGACATCAGGTGATCATGTTGAATCTTCTGTCAGTGCGAATATCTGAGTTCTTCCTTCCCACCACACCCACGCAAGCTCCAATTCATAAGTCGACAAATGGCCTTCTCCCTCCCAATGATGAACGGCCTCTCTCTCCCTCGACCAGCGGCCTCCTCTCATGATGAAGGGTCTCCTCCCTAGGTAGAGATGACAAAAGGCCTCTTCCCTCCCTTGACTAACGGCCTCCTTTCTCGACAAATGATTTCCTCATTCCGCAGATGGTCTCCTCCGTCTCCTCCCTCAATGATTGGTCTCCTCCCTCAACAACTGGTATCCCCTCGACGATTGCTTTCTAAGCTCCAAGCTCAATGACCTGTCTCCTCCCTCAACGAACTTTGTATGCCCTCAACGACCTGTCTCCTCCCTCGACAAACTGTCTCCTCCTTCGACAACCTGTTTCCACCTTCGACAAACTGTTGCCTCCATCAACGACGTGTCTCCTCGACGACCTGTTCTCGCCTTTGACGAACTGTTGCCTCCGTCAACGACGTGTCTCCTCCCATGAACTGTCTCCTCCTTTTACCAATGGTCTCCTCCTAACTAGCTCAATGGCCTCCTCCCTTCTTTGATTGGCATCCCCCTCTATCTCAATGAACGGTCTTGGCCTTCCCCCTACCTCGACAAATGGTGCTGCATGAGGTTTATGATTAGTAGTGTTTGAAAGTCCGGTTTGGTCTGGTTTTTTGATGCCCAGGGGCATTAACCGTAACCGTAACCGGTCTGCCTTTTCCCCAGAAGTCAAAAGACCAGACCAGACCGCAAAAAGACCACAGACCGCGGTCTTTTGCGGTCTATAGACTGGCTTCGGTCTGCATTGGTTTTAACCAGTTTATGACCGGTCTGTAGGCCAATATTGTGAAGTTATGAATCAGTAGATTTATTAACATCTCTAATAGCTTCAAAACGAGCCCAAGAACGTTAAATTCCGTTAGGAATTGGTGCTTCTATAAAATAAGTCTGGTACATCTATTATTCCCAAAAGTAATTTACATTTTAATTCATATCTCTCTCGTTTTTTTACCAAATCGTATGTTCTTGGGTGCGTTTTAAAGGGTATTTAAGGGGTTACAAAAGACCGGTTCACATTAACCGGTTTTTTTGTGGTCTTTACATTTCAAAAATAAAAGACTGTAACTGCAGGTCTGGTCTTTTGCGGTCTTGGTCCAGTCTGGTTATGGTCTTTTTCCAGTCACAAGACCGGACTTCCAAACACTAATGATTAGGAGACGAGAATTTGGACTTGACGTGATTGATGTATATACCTAAGCCTGATGTCATACGAAGGCGCCACTCGAGGTTTACGCATTTATGGGGAATTTATACTGCAAGTCGTCGATTCAATCTAGATTAGAAGGGTGTATATACATGCTTATTTATGATTTTGACGTTTACATGACTTGACGCTGAGAAGACTATTTATTACCTGAGAGAAATAGACAACTAACACATCTCAGCAAGGGGGTCCTAGGATTAAAAAAATAGACCTGGGGTCATTTTTTTTTTTAAAGCCCTTACTGGCTTGACCTACCTACCTATGTAATCAGGCACATGTCCATATATGGTAAGATGACATCATCATTTTCATCGCTTTGTCCAAGATGCCTTGCAAACCCAGTTTTGTGAATCTATTTCCTACCAAATGCAATGTAGATGATACTGGAATATAGGTGAGTGACTTGTAATTTTTATTGTATAGAACATATTTTAATGTTGGCAGATCTAAGTCTGTTGGCAAATCTGGCTTATCTGAGTTTTCCAATTGGGCTGTGGTGTTTTACATAATTGGTATCAAGAACAAGTTTCTAAACAACTTGCCAGTAACTTGTAAGTGATGTTTAGTGACTGTATTTCTTTGGTTGTGCCAGCTTCCATTTCTCCACCTTCAAGATGAGCTTTGTGACATTGACACTTGGTGAAGATTAGATAAGCTTGAAGAAATATTATATAATGCTTCAATATCATTGAATTCGGACTGATCTACATGCTTTGGAGTGCACTAGCACTACTAATTCGCAGGGGATGGCCTTCCAGGACTGTTTTTAGATCATTTTGTAGAGGGTTCCATATTTTTTTTTTCTCAGCCTGTGGCTGACCTACCTACCCAACCCCTGGTCGGACTTTGGAATCCTAGGACCCCCTTGCATCTCAGTTATGCGACTTGAGCATGACTGGAACAAGACTACTACACAACTATAGCATAACTAGCATCTGACTTTTGTTTGACTACAAAAGGACTATGAAGTCAGGATTTCATGACTAACCATTGACCTTCAGATGAGGGTGACTAGACTAAGTGCAGACTACCACATGACTGTATCATACATATATTTGGCATCTGGAAAGGAAACCACACAACTTGACACGACTTCGTGAAGTCGACTTGAAGTCAAAATTTTGTAAAATTTACTGCTTTTAGTCATGACTTACATTTTCGTGCACTGGCGTTACTACTATACCAACCGTTTTTACTGAGGGTCAAGGGTCATGATGGGGGGTCAGACCTTTTTTGGAAAGAGTATTGAGGCTGACGCGCTGACGCGCTGACGCGCTGATGCCCATGTTGTTTTTGTTGTTTTGTTGTTTTTTTTTTTGTTTTTTTTACACTCATGTTTGAACGTTGTGCTGTGCATACAGAAGTTCTCACAGAACCCTTGACCGATCATGACCCCGTCAATCAAAGTCAGGTCACTCGACGCTGGATCAGGGTCGTCAGACCCTGGTCATGACAACACTGGTTCAGCTTCAGCTTGTCTCGACTCTCGGTTCAGCTCCTTGCCTCACACGATGACTGCAAAGGCAGCATTTCCACTGGGTCTTCTGCTCGTTGCGCCTTTTCACCCAAAATTCGTCGCAGAAGATTCATGTCTCTCAAACTACTTTTACGGAACCTATCACGACGTCCACACGCCGGGCTACAGCATCTTCAACGTTCCAGACCAAGAATGTTACGACGCGTGGGACGCGTATTTCCCTAGGAATACCCCATTTGTCGAGGTTCCCGAGGGGGGTAATCAACTGGTGTGGCTTCACCAGGACTTTGTCGAAGAAAGCCTCTTGGAGGGCTCAACGGGAATCACAGAATCCTTCCTCGATTCACTGCTATCGTCAGACTTACCAGAACCGCTGGATCAAGAAGTTTTGACCCCCTCTCGACCACCATCCCCACCCACGATTCTCCACCAAAGCTCAACGTCACTCCTCATTTCAATGCCTCCTTTCCAAGCACGTACAATCGACACGCTCTTGCCCCCATTCTGGAAATCAGCCCTTCTTCCAAGAGAGCCCATTCCATATCACGCCGTATCACCCTCAGCCATAGAACCCGTGAAAAATGCGCTCAAGAAACTAAAATTTGACCCCATAGTCGCGTCTATTGTCAACAACATCTCCCTCCCTCAAACGCGTAACGATATCCGGTTCCTCACAGGGGAAGACGGAAGGTCTGGCATTGTCTCTAGACATTCGTTCACTCCGGGTGCCGTCATCGCCGCGAAATGGCTCAAGGCGCGGTTTGAGAATTCTGGTGCTGAATGTCATTACAAACCATTCCTTGAAGGATTCGTGCCCAACGTCGTATGGTGTGTAACACATCTATAATTTCCTTCCTTCTTTTACTAATTTCTTCAGCCGATACTCTGCCGTCAATCCGACGAACGACACCCTCATAATCAGCGGGCACTGCGACAGCCGTGGATCCTTCTGAAGCACACGCGCTCCAGGTGCAAACGACGACGGTTCCGCAACCACTGGCGTCCTAACAATTCCGCGTACCATTGCTCGAAAAAGCGTCAGGTTCACAAACGCCAACGTTGAGCTTATCGCGTTCGCTGGTGAGGAGCAGGGCTTGTTGGGGTCCAAGGCGTATGCTAGTATGTTCGCTTCTTTTTTTTTTTTTTGCTTTACGGGCACTGATGGTAGTTCAGAGGAATTAAGAGCTGCCAATGCGAGCGTTATTTTGATGATTCAGGCTGATATGACGGCGTATCGTGCCCCTGGCGAGCCAATGCAACTCGGACTTCCGGAACGGCGCGTAACCTCCTCTGTGATCTCCTACCATACCTTCTCAAAAGCAATCTATAGAATTGGGACTCCAGAAGTTATCCAGCTTGTATGGAACATCTCTGAAATCTACAGCCCCGAGCTTCATCTTGGACTTACACCAGTTCGTATTTTTCTCTGATCCCCAATGCATTATCTGATAACGGTGATGCCGTAGGTGTGCTGCAGTGACCACCAGGTCAGTCTGCCCTAACTCTCCCTCCCTCTGCGAGATAACTGACTGTTAAATCACTCAGTCGTTCATCGAGCAAGGCTACCCAGTAACCCAACTTTTCGAACGTGTTGGACGGAGTAAGTTCCCCCTCTCTCCATTCCCACATATGCGCGATCGACGCTGACGGCATGGGCTAGTCGCGGACCCGATGTATCATAATAGCCGTAAGCATCATCTTCCTCCCTTAATTAGACCCACATCTTGACGAAATTTTCAGATGATCTGAGTGAGAGAGAAGGGTACGACTTTGACCAGATGCATGCTATTGCTAAAGTGCAGGTACGCTGATGGTTCTATGAAAACTTACTTTTCTTGCTGATTGCTTTCTCATAGTTTGCCGCTGTGCTTCATACGGCTGGGTATGAATTGGAGTGAATTGTTTGTTTAATTTGTCGTTTATATGGTTATACCGGATTTTTTGGATTTGGTTGTACGTATCATTATCAATGTTTTCTTTTTTTGCTGCCGTTTCCCAGATTGCACTCAACGTCGTTGCTGCTCCTATGGCCATTTTGCCAACCTTCATAGAAAAACGGGCATTCGGACATGCCTGAGAACTTTCCCGCCGCTGTCGGAGTCACCACACGTCTGCACAGCCACAGAGCCTACACACATAAGCCCGACGTTTTTCCCGCCCACGCCTTTCCCAGCCCTTTCCCAGCCTCTGTCACTGTGGAGCTGCCCTTCCGTTCTTCTCCTCCCTCTGCTTGATTCTCTTCGCCGTTCGAACGCCTTCGTGTCCAACTTGGAATCTGTCTCTTGTGTGCGTCAAAGCAAGTCGGGCTCTGCAAGCAACGTCAATGGAATCACAGTTCGGCGTCAATTGGCGGCGTTTCCGTCTTTTTCTTTCTTCTCTCATTTTCGCTTTGCTGATCCCCTCCCTGTGTCCTTCCCCTTACTCCTTTTTCCCCTTCTACCTTCCTCTTTCCCCTCCCTTCTATCTTCCCTTCTCTCTCTTTCTTTCCCCGTTCCTTGCTTTACCCCATAGTCCTTCTATCTCTGTGCGCTTGATTGAGGGTGCACGTTGAAGGAACCCCAATCAAGACGAGATTATATGAACCATTACAAACGATATGAAAAATGATAATGATATATTTCGTCATCTAGACTCTGCTCGAGCTTTTGAACACAAAACCTCAACTGAATCAATCTCTCAAGAAAGTCAACGTCAATTCTACCATCAAGTTACAACAGAAGATTACAAGACGGTCAACTGTGTGCCTCAAGACGACGAACACGACCGTGAATCTCATGTGAGTGGAAGCTCAGCAGTGCCATCTCTTGTCCCAGACAAAGGCAACAGATTCAGTTCAAGCCTCAAATGTGTGATCAAAGTAACGCAACCTCAACGTCAAGACTTCTCGCCATTATTTGAGTGAGTATGCCGAGATTTGGAAGTATGGCCTCAAAAAGAAACGATTTCATGATCCCAGAATGTGCCAAATTGTGTGTCTGTCGTCGCGACAAATCTGCCACACTCCGAGCTCGCCGAGAAGAATTAATTATGGAGATCAAGCACAAATCACCCAAAATTCCACATGACGTGCAGCAATTATGGCAAGGACTGAAAGTACGACAACTATATTTTTCTGGGCTTGAGTATCAACCATTCAACAGATCTGCGTGAATTATATATGGTACAAATGCAGGAGAAGTGATGTTTGTGCAACGGAACAGGGCAATACTACACAGGACGCGACAAAGCATTGACTATGCGATGAGATAGGGGACAAGAAGGAGCGAGAACAAGATCTGAGCAAGCAATTATCGGAGAAAAGTAGGGTCCATCCAACGGCGAAAGCCAGCGAAGAACCTCCCTCCGAAGCCCTTAACCTTCAACAACAAGCGTCGCTGCAGTATGATGAGCGCAATACACATCACAACTTCCAAAAAAACGAACCCAGAAGTGCCCATCTGAAGCAAGTTCCTCGCCGTTCTCGTCGCCAAACAGGGACGCAGCGTCTTGATCCTGAACAGATATGAAATGAGCAAGAAGGCCTGACAGATTCACTAGAAGAGCTGCCTACGGGATAGTAGGTGCACTTATACGTGATGAAGGCTGAGGCTGGGGTCGTGTCACGGAGGTCAATCGTATGCTGTGGGCGGGACATAATAGCCTCAGTCACAGGGAAGTTTACGTCGTGAACGCGTCGTACCATGAATTCCTCGTCGCTCAATGGAGCATGAACCGGAATGTGGATTTCGCGAGTCTGAGCGCGCTGGAAGTCGCGCAGGGTAACCGAATCGCTGAGGACTAGGGTAAAAGACGGAAGGACGAGTTGTGAAAGAGGCATAGTGGATGTAGACTAAAATGATGTATGTTTTAGTTTGTGGAAGGACAGAAAAGGAGCGTTGGGGCGGTGGTGGTGGTGGTGGTGGTGGGCGTGATAAGGAAGAGAGACCCAGCGAAACTGGGTCATTTATATTGGAAAATGGGGTCCAAATAACCGTCAAAACAGCGGCGACCTTAGAATTCCTTGACTCAAAGTTTAAATTTTCGGTTCCTGGATTTCTAGGCTGGGAATGGTTGGATCTCGTGTAGAATTGGTGTCATTTGTCGTTGATGGGAGGCAGGAGGGCTGGCTTCCCGGAAAAGACCAGTGGGGAGGAGTGAATAGATGGCGACGGTATCCTCTGCCCAAGCGCCCAGGAGGAGATACGGGGAAGGCACTGCCGAAAGTTGTGACAAACACAATGTCCAACAGTTGCCGCATTAGCCCAAAGCTTCTTACGTCGGGTGAAGTGGTCGTACCTTCCCCCAGCAGTCAAATCGCGGCTTGCATAGTGCTCAGCGACCGCAGGCCTTGCCGATCTTCAAGATTCCTTCGAATAGGATCGTATGCGACAGACTTTCACCAGGGTCGACTCAATCCACGGCAAACTGGAAGCACACAAGGACACTAGAAATTCAGAGGGGCGTGAATCACCATAGATATGATACTCCCTCATATTCTTGATGACCATTGAAGACAAATGTAGCAGAGCGCTCCATGAAGGCATGTCAACGTTTCGAGGTCTGCTGGTGAAGGAGGTGTCTGTGCTGACTTCCTACGTAGATTCCAAGGTTCGACATCATGTTGAAGAACAGATCATGCTTGAGACGGTGGTCGGATCCATGGGGGCTTGGTGGTGCTTCGGATAAAAAGCAGCCCCACCGAAGGACACTGAAGTCTCGAAGGACAGTCATGAGGATCCACAGCTTCCTTAAGGAAGCGTTCATGAGGACATGTCACCCACTCTGCAGCTGCAGTCATTGAGACAATGTCTCAATATCTGCTGCGAGAGGCATCGTCTCGTTTCCGAATTTCCGGTCCAATGACTCCCTGCGCGGGGGAAGTGCTCCAGGTGAGCAAACCCATCCATGACAGAATCCAGGGCGTGCTCTCGAAGGAACCCTGTGCAGATCAGGCTCAGGAGGGCAATCACTCTTGAAGCCCCCTGGACCATAGCCCCTTGATCTCAAACGGGAGCGGTCGCCTACTGTTTATCAGGACGACGAGGTTGGCAGACGAACACGAACGTCCGCCTCCGAAGTCGAACTATCGCGGCAAATAGCGAATTGGACGCCCTTTCATTTGGGTCGAAAGAAAAAGTTTTTGAGACCTCCACAGTTTTCCAAAGAATCGCCTCTCGACCATTGAATTCGAAGACCGTCACGTGATAACATAGGGGAAGGGGATGATGTGCAACCAAACGGCGATTTCTCCTTCATTATGGATTATGCCAGTCGGCAAAGTATCCAGTGTAGGCTGGCGACGCGGGGAAAACCAAGATTTGGTCTGGAGTCGAAGTCGGAAATCAAGAGGTCCAGATTTGCGGTTCTATGCGCCAACCCCTTGTTTTTGGGTCGAAATTGAGTGGGAAGGAGGCGACAAAGGCGCTGAAATAGTGCCTTATCGTTGAAACTGCCAGTCAGATTCGACAAGTTTTCATAAACGTGGCAAAGAATGCATGACTTGAAGTTCTGCTGGCATTTCTCCTCGAAAAACAGTGGTCCTCGCCTGGCAAACTTTGTAAAATCTGGAGAACTCATGAATCGACATACAAAGAACAAGAACGATCACATACCGTCGCCCACGCGGTGGGGTATGGGCGACCTTCAGCCTAGCCTTCCTCGTCATCATTGCCGATACTGATCGCCTTCACCACAACCCCTTGTCTACTGTCTGGTAACCTTTCGTCCTATTGAGTCCCATGAAGTAGAACATGCCGACGTGCCTCGAGCGCCTGACGCCAGGCAATGAATTCGTCGTTGGTTGAGCTCTGGTTGTGCAGAATGTGGCCAAATCTGACGGCACAAGCCACCGCTTCCAAATTCCAACTAATCTCCAACCCAACAGTATCGACGCCCTCCATTCCCATAGTTCACCGGATTTTTTTGAAGGCCTTGTTCCGAATGGAATGATGTGGGTTGTTGCAAGCAAAATTTTGTGGATGGTGGTCGCGTTTGTCAACCTTCCTTTCTTCGGTTTCATTGGAGAACAATCAAACATACCAAATTTCCAGCCTCCTACAACTTCACATTCATCCCTCCGACATAACCCAGCGTTTCCCAACCTCGCTCTGAAAAGTCATGGAAACTTCTCTGGAACTGAAGCATTCGGAACCTGAAATTCTGGAGACAGCAATCTACGCTCGCCCTGGACATACTACTATAGTCATGGTCTACCGTGCAGTCATCTGTATCTGAGCGTCAAGCGACGGATTCTGCCCAACGACAAGGACATATATCGTTTTCTCCTCCTACCTCTTTCCATCCCCTCATTGTCTCTGCACACAAAACAAAAAAAGTCTCCCATCCGCTTACCACAGCTGCTTCCCACTCAACACAATCGAAAGGACTATTTCATGGTCATACGCCATCAAATAATTGTATAGATTGCGGCCTTGAGGCATCCACTCGATCGAAAGAACATCTACTGTGAAACTTTACTTGTGTTCTTATGGAACTCGTTGCCGTTCTCCTGCATTAAAAAATAGTCACCAAGAGATACTTCATACATGCCAACCGATGGTCTCCTTCACTGGCAACCTACCCACTTCACCTTGTCTTCCTCGCTTGGCCCAGCAGGTTCATCCGATCCAGCAAGGCCGCACTGATGAAGGATCCGAACCTGGTCTGGCTGGAACAAACCAACGACCGTATGAATAAGGCCGCGGTTGCTAAATATTACGAGATCTTTAGCCTCCCATGGATGCGGATAGACGAGCTGAAGGCAAAAAGAATGAGATCAACCAAGGAAGTCGAGCAGCTTGACGACTGACATTTGGTGCAATTCCAGGTCTTTGCATACTATAAACAAGTTCTCGAACGTGGCGAAGATCCGTGATGTGCCCGCCGTCTGGGTATAACACTCCAAGATTATTTGCCACTGGTCGGCAGCTCTCTGGTACTGGTTCGATGTATATCTCGGAGATCGCAAACGGATGGACTTGAAGATGGAGGGATCCTGTCACTGGGTTCTTCCAGACCTAGCACCGATGTGAGCCACCTAAAATGGGTCCAAGAATGGGGCGACATACCAAAGGGTACACCTTGATCTTTTCCTCATCCCAGCTCGTCAACGTGTCCAACGGTTCCTCCAATCCCTCACTCTCCAATCCCAGCCCAGTCGACACCCCCTTAGCTGCTGCCATGCACTCGAACGGATGAGGCGCATACCTAACTCTAGCCCTCACTGCAAGGCTCTTCAACTCCTTCGGCAAAATATCAAACATAACCTTCCCCGAAGCGAACGCCGTCGTTCCTAAAGTGACCCTCAACTCGTCCCCGGAGCCATCATCATACCTGACCGTCTGTGTTGGGCCCTCCGGAACCCGAACTGCATAAAGCGCCGTAGCTTTGGGTGGAGACAGTTCATACAGCGCAGCATCCATGTGCCAGCGGAAGAACCTCGTGACTGCTGGGCTTCCGTTCTCATCTTCAACTGAGACTCGTGTTTTATGAAAACTCGCGTGGTGTCCGTGCCGGAGGGTTACTTCTGGGATACCTTCGTGGTCGTGGATGGTTCCGTGGCCTATGAGTTGTACTTGAGGGACCCGCGGAATGGTGTTGATGTATGCGCCTATGACCCCTCTTTCTAGCGCGTCGGTTTTGTGCGTGTAGCTCTCTGCTTGCGGGTCGAACGCCTGGAGTTGAATAATTCGCTTCAGCTGTTTGTTTGTTATGGCTTCTATGGACGCTTACCTTGACCAAGGCCAGTTGCTCTTCAAGAGACAAGTCAACATCTCGAAACAGAAGGAGATCGTGCTCTTTCAATCATTATCAAGGATGAATATATTCGACTATTGGAGTCACCTTGTACAAAGCCTCCTCGAGTGCCTTGAACTCGTCTGCGCTGAGGTTTCCCGGGTGGACACCCTTGACCTCTCGACCGAATTCTACGAATTTCTTCTTGTCTACGCTGGCGGGAAAAGTCAGGGGTACTAGGTTGATAGTCATTGCGACGATAAGGAGGGAATCAAGCTTGAACTTCATATATTATAGGTCTGTAAGGTGTACGTACTCTACCCCAAGATCAGATGATGCAGTCATGAGCTTCGAATTCACTGAATTGATACAGAGAAGCTTTCTCAAGCTGGTAACGATGAACAGCCCTCAACTGATCGTACAAAAAAATACTGCAGGGAGTACTGATTGTTTTGGTAGGGCAATAGGAGTCGTGTTACTGTAGCTGAATGAGAGAGGTCTTGATGCAGGGAGCATGAGAAGCAGGGTGATAAGTATAAGGAAACCTTGAGAGTGCTTGCACTCAAACTGATAGGAAGAGACAGAGACACGAAACCATAAATTCGTACGTAGCAAACAACTAGAAACAAGATATACAAGCAATTGAGCGGGGAACGCGCCAGGCGTCACTATTCACTTTCTATCATCATCAAACGAGTAATTCACTTCCTTCCTCCTAAAATCCCCACCAACTTCTCCTCAAACGAAGCATTCCATTCCCGCCCCTCCACAACCCTCATTAACCTCCCAACCATCCGCTCAACCTCAGGCACTCTGAAACAACATCTCGCACCGTCAACATCAAATACTCCCTCACAACACCCTCAATCTCCTTCATCGGTATCCCCGCCACCTCGCTCCAATACTCCAAGTTCTTCACATTGGGGTTGGAAGGACACAAAGCGCGCGCAGCGTTGATAAACAACCCAGCCCACAACTTGTGCGGATCAAACACGCATAAAAAGTGTTTGCTTCGCGTGGGATTGTCCAGGAAGGATCTGCGCACGTTGTGTACAAGGATGAGCGTGCATGGGATGATGGAGAAGGGAAGGTGGGTGTGCGTGATGAGGTGGGTTATGTATTGCTCGAGGGGGAGAGATAGGAGGTTGGGAGAAGAGCGGAAGGTGGGTACGAGGAGGGCACCCATGGACATGTAGAGGTATTTGGCGCAGAGACGTCCTGACGTCTCTGGCGTGAGTAGGGGAGAGGGAGGACAAAATCCCTCGGTTTAACGGGAGGAGGAGGAGGGGGAGTGGGTGAAGAACGAGTTGAAGAAGAACAGAAATTATTGCCGTAAGGAGCTGGATAAGCGACGCTTTTCCGTGCCTTGTTATCATAGGAAGAATAAGGTCGTTGGTCCACCTTGGAGTCCCAACGAATGGTTGAGGCCCTCGGACGCGAGGTAGGAGATGTTTAAACAGCAAGACTCACTTCAAGTGAACGCTGCTCAGTGGTAGCGGTGATAGTAGCAGTGATGAGAGACATGGTTTAGATCTTAGGAGAGATGATAAGTCCTCGAAATGCAAAGAGAGGAACGGGACGTACACACACGATGATAAGAAGGTATTCGGGCCAGATAGGTGCAAGTAGTTTATAGAATGCAGTTGGTTTGGTTACAAAAAGTGTGTGTGGTGATGGTGGTTTGGCAGATATTCGTTACGAAGAAAAATGGGGGGTTATTTATGCAATTTGGTGAATAGGGGAGTGCGTGGGTTAGACATTTTGGAAAGGGGGAAGCTGGTGGTGGCAGCTCATAGTAGTGAGTAGAGGCAAATTCAGCGTCAAAGCGTTTGGAATTGAAGATAGAAGTTGTCGTACTTGAGCCTGGAGCGTTGATATATGCACTTCAGTCGGTCTTTGGGAGGTCCGTGTGCATTGGCTGTGTAAAGGAGTCTATTCTGTTTGTCCTCCCTTGTTCGGGTGACCGTGTTTTATTTGGCAGCTCGTCCTCATCGCTCTCACCGACATCCTCAAGGTCTAAAAAATGCCCAGGTAATATCCTTGACATCGTGCACGACGAGCAGTTAACAAACACACATGCAGGGCCCCGCGGAACTATTCCAAGACGTGAGCTTTCCAACTTGACTTCAAGATCCACTTTTATGTGGAGGGTGTAACACCGTGGTGATCAAAGCCGTGCCCCATTGCTATATAACTTTACAGTTATAAGGTCCCCCGTCGACCTTCGAATCCGCTCGTCTCGATGCCGAGCTGAAGGTTCTTAACCGTCCCCTTTGCCTCTTTTACCACCCCCTCAAACTCTATTCCATCTTAGCTCGCAGGTGAATACGGCCTCCGCAACAAACGCGAGATCTGGCGTATCGCCCTCATCCTCTCCAAAATCCGTCGTGCCGCCCGTGAGCTCCTCAAGCTCGACGACAAGGACCCCAAACGTCTCTTCGAGGGTAACGCCCTCATCCGCCGTCTCGTGCGCATCGGTGTGCTGGACGAGTCCCGCATGCGTCTCGATTACGTGTTGGCCCTCAAGATTGAAGATTTCTTGGAGAGAAGGCTGCAGACTCAGGTTTTCAAGAGTGGTTTGGCTAAATCCATCCATCATGCTCGCGTGTTGATCAGGCAAAGACATATCCGGTGCGTTTGAACATACTATACCTCCTTGGGATTTTGAAACCTGATAATCACTTCGTTATAGCGTCGGCAAGCAAATAGTCAACGTCCCTTCATTCGTCGTCCGACTTGACTCGCAAAAACACATCGACTTTGCTCTTACTTCGCCTTATGGTGGAGGTCGCTCCGGTCGCGTTAAGCGTAAGCGTGCTGCTGCCGCTGCCAAGAAGGAGGAAGGTGGTGACGAGGAGGAGGAAGAGTAATTTAGTCGCCATCAACTACGCTATCTATGCTTTGTATCGTATGCCTCAGCCCCATGCCATTATGCATACGAACCGCATTTAGGAATGAGACTTTTCATGCCAGCAGAAGGTCAACATCTATATTTCGTGAATTCTGTGCTATCTACATGGTAAGCACAATAATTTTCAGCAGAAGCTCGAAGGCCCTTGCAGCCCTGTCTGACCAGTTTCACCCGAAGTGCAATTTGGTTCGTTCAGTGACGACACTTTCGATCTTACTTGGCGTCCAATATCGCCGATCTTCACTCTATAAAACACCGCGGTGCAACAGGCCCAGGTGAATCCTGGAGAAGAACGAAACAAGCAATAACCCGCACCTTTCTCAAAAATGAAGGTGAGAGACTTACAAAGTATGAGATGAGGAATGACTGCCTTGCAAGGGATTTTCCTAATGGTAAAGTTGAAAAAGCAAGTACAGATCCATATTGGCTCACCTCATCCTTTACCTGCGTCAAGACTTCAAAATTGTTTGGCGTGTGTTCGCCACCTGCTCCCGCATCTCGCTCGACGTGAAAGAAGATAGGACGGCTCGAACACGTCGGAGTACCGTTGTCGAGTCAAATACTGGTCCCTGTGCCAGCTCGAAGGCTCAGCTCGGTACCCTCGGTATCCGAATTGAAATTGAAACCAGGAGTGGTCTCTTTCTGTGAAGAGTTGGAAGACAGACTTGTCTAGCTCAGCTATGGCTGAGAGTTCTTCGGAGTTCCGCTGGAAAATAAGCACGTTCAGTGGCAGCCCAGGCAGCACCCTGAACGCAGCGATTACGATTGTGATAGTCAACGGCGGAATCGTGAGATGGTGGTTTTAAGCAGACCCAAAGACAACCGCTCTCTCTCCAGCTTCAACAGATGTCTTATCGAACTTGCTCGGAGGCAGGCTCTTCCTTGGGTCGAGCTTTGCCAATATCTGCGAGTGAATTTGTTCCCTGGGACATGCCGGACGAATCCAACGTATCAGGGAGTATCGAGAGGCCAATTGCCTAATTTTTTTTGTGCGGTTTATGTGCCTGACTATGAATGAGTGCTCCTCGTTGCTTGGAGTTACGGAGACATTTCCTTTGTAGTGAGATCCCGCTGAGCTGTCTATCATGTTCAGCAAGGGTTCTGGTAGTTTCAAATGTGACAACTTTTCTTACCTTGACGGCTGGAGGTTAGACAATCAAGGTTGACGGGAACCAGTGGAGGCATAGGGTTGGAAAACTATGGGCACAAGGGAGATGAAGCGGTCCTGAAGTATTCAAGACTCGTCATTCGAGATTGGAATGTTAGCCAGAGATCCGCGACTCCATGAGAGGAATTGGGGGCTTCTAGTCTTGCACATTCCCTCGTCCTACGATGGATCAAAGGCCGAACTTTTGAAGAAAATACGAGATATAGCAAAGATATAGTTCCACCAAACGAACATTGTCCATGTCGACAGTGGCTGTAGTTGTAGTTCCTAGCTTTGCGGACAAAAAAGGCTTTGAAACGGTGAACCAAATCAATATGTGGTGGTGGTGGTGGTGGAAAGGATAAGGAAACAACGCGGGGACACCATGAAAGGTGCTCACCCTCAACTGCTCCACTATTCCGGCACAATTATCCCCACCAACTGGGTGCGCTACTTTCCCTGATTTTGTTGCTGAAGCCAACGCACTTCACAGGAATGTCGACCATCAGCTCTGCTGTTGATTGACGTTATCGCCAGCAAGTTTTTGGCAAGTCTCGTGAAAGCGCGTTCAATAAGGATATGTAACTAAAAGCGCCCAAGCAACGTTCTCACGTCGCCCAAGAGTGGGCGGCGCCTCATTCTTGCTCTTGTCACTCACTCCTCGATAATCCTACCTTCAACATACAAGCCTTTTGAACTTGAATTCAGATGGATGATATGGAACGTGATAGACGTCGTCCATCGACAACCAATACAAACGCCATCCCCGTCACAAGCACAGGGTACGTCGGTGCTGAAAATCTGACATGTCAATTCTTTCCGTTGATGCGACAATGACCAGGGCATCCATGTTCGCGGGCTCCTCAACTCCAAATGTGACCGGTGGAATGTTCAACAACTCGCAAGGGGATCAAATCATGAGTACATTCAACAATTGCACGCTGTGTATGTGCGCTTCTACCACGAAGTCTTGCTGTTAATCATTGGAAATTTACTCAGATGTTGGGTCGGACACGATGGGCTCTAGTTTGGCAGCAAGTGAGACTGTTGGCGCTCTCGTGGTTCAGGTCTATAAAGAATCCTTAGGTCTAAACAAACTACAAATGGACTCCGAGAAGCATTCTACAAACCCTCACTTGACAGCCGACACAACGTCCACCTCTGGAATGGACAGTGTAGAGTACATTGATATCAACCATGTCTATTCATCAATCTGAATCTGTTAACTAGGGCATCTGCCTTGTTAGGCACCTCATCTCCAAGTGTCCTTGTCAGAGGGGATAGCCACTTGCAGAGAGGCCCAAACAAGACTGATAGTGCATGTGGTTCAGATCTTTAACTTAAAAATCTTTTTGGAAGCTTACTCTGATGTAGGGGGATCAGATTCTGACACTTTGCCTGTTACCTTGGACGCAGACCCTGAGCAGCCTCCATCTACAGAGCTGCAGAGGCCTGCTAATGCTAGCTGTGTCATCTACAATCATTTCATGTTTCTAGAGGGACATGGCCAGCCTCTCTACATTCCCCAGCCCAGCACAAGTCATGGTGATTCTTATGAACACCAAGGTGTCAGCATTGGCGATGTTGGGGTGGTTACTTCATTGGGTGACTTTGACCGCTTCTTCAATATCAGTTTGCCTGCTGGACATGCCATGAACCCAGATGTGCTTCCTGATGGCTTCTATCACTATAATCTAAAACCAGCAGATGTCCAAGTCAAGCCAATCTATTCCCCAAACAGTTACATAGCCAATCCTTCTGTACCGATTTACATAGCCAATCCTTCTGTATGGAGGACTAGGTCTGTTTCAAGTCTCTGCTACATCATAAAGATACTTACAAGATGATATTAGAACAACATTCCAATGTTCTGAACTTGAAGGTGCTATTCTAACCATGCCTCAAGGAGCTTATCATCAAGAATTGAGAAGAAATATTGGCAAATTCAAGGACTATGCAGCTGCTAATCTTGCCAGCTGGTATGACTATGCCAACATAGTTCATGGTCTAGAACTTGACAATGGTGATATTCGCTTGGTAATTGAATGTGACAAGACAACCTCTTGGGGCATTGCTACTTACTCACACAGCCAGTCCAAACATGAAGTAACCAATTTAAGCTTCAATGTTAACAGCGAAGGTCACTCTCTGTATCCAAAATATGCTTGGGAGGCAGATGGCATGGCAAAAAATCTGAAGGTGGGTCCTGAGGATGTTGAGCTTCTAGACCCACCAGAAGACCATGCCA